GAGTTAAAATGGGGAAAAAAATCTGCATTTCACGTCAGTTGCTCAATACTTGATGTTTTTAGTGTTTATGTGTACTTTAACTTTAGTAAAAGTTTTTAAATGTGCTCAGTGAATTACGTCATCATAAGTCAGAAGCAAAAAGAAAAGAGTAAAAGATTAACACAATATGTTTGTTTGTCTTTTTCCTTTTTGGACAACATTTTTATTCCGCTATACTGCTACTTGTCATTATTACAATACCCAATTATTTCTGATATGTTGCAACAACTGTGTACTTTCCATTGCTTAACTTCCATTTAGGATTTCAGTGGCTCTGCAATGTGTTGCAGTTTTTTTTGTACCATTTGGTTTGTGGTAACTCCCCTGTCATAGTGTTGATAGGTAGACCACGTACAATAGAAAGTGTGAGCTTTCTCACGCCACAAAGACAAAATTCAGTTTTTTTCACCTCCCATTTTATTTCCCATAAATATAAGGCAGTTGTGTGTCTCCTCCACAGACATTTTTGCACGCATCGATGGTACAACTCCCCAAGCGACAGTTGGTACTATGCCACAAATCAAGCATGTCCTTTTCCTGTGTGAAAACTCCACCCGACACATGTACTACTGGCACACAGACAACAACATAGAATAATGAAGTCCTTGTATAAATGCTGCACAGTATCTGTTTCACACCTTGCGATCAATCAGTTTCCACCCCACAGATGAAAGATTGCATTCAGCGACGTGCGTCACTTTCGACAGGTCGACAGGAGTATTTTTTCTATTGTGGTGTATGTTTTATGCTTTTTCATCCAGATATGAGAAAAGGATTACATGATATGCATAAATTAAGATACAGATGATATTGCTTCATTTCCAACAGTATTTTGTAAAAAATTTAATTTTTTAAAAAAAGCCTCAAAAGTCTTTGTCAAACTCTGGCACACAGGTGCCTCATCCAGTCATGACGGGGAATTCCAACAGCAGCAAGCTAGACAACGCCACCCTGTCCCTGTTTCAGAATGTAGAAACCAGCATTGCCATCTCTGTCATCTACATGATCGTCACTGCCATTAACCTGGCAGGAAATGGCCTTTCCATATGGATCCTCCTCTTCCGTACCTCCCCAAAGACTCCGTCCATCATGTTCATGATTAATCTCACCTTCACCGACTTGGCCCTTGGCGCTGCCCTGCCCTTTCAGATCGCCTACCAGCTCCAAGGATACCAATGGAATCTGGGACCCAAGATGTGCAGGTATTCTTTATGACTGCGGAATAAATCCACAACAATTTGAAAGAAAGTTTGTTTACGTTGTTTTTATGTTCACAGCCACTCAGTGGACGTCCACAGTCCACCAGTTGGAATAGTTTGACATTTTGGAAAATACGCTTATTTGCTTGCTTTAGATGAGAAGTTCAATACCACTCTTGCATCTGTTTGTTCATAAGAACATCTGGCCACCTCAGCTTAGCATAAAGTCTCTAAACAGTGAGAAACAGCTTGCCTGGCTCTGTGTTGTTGAATCTGTACAGAAATCGAGGTGTAAAAGTGACAACAATGTTATTTTGGGTTAACAATAATAATAATTGTCCAGGTCCTGTGATTTCTTGATGTCTTTTTTCTTGGTTGCTTGGCAACCTCATGGCGGCATCAAGACTTCAGGTATTCGCTGCCCCCGAAAACGAAATAGTCCGGTACATGACCCTCCCATAAAACCGAGTTTTACGGTTGTTTTAACACTTTGGTTTTTGTACGAATTGAACAAACAAGGTATAATGTGTTAATTAATGAATTTTAGAGGTTCTGGTAGGTGGATTTTGTTACATTTTGGCAGAGCTTCCATTCATTATGCTAAGCAAACTGGCTGCTGGCTGTAGCTTTATATTAAACAGACAAATAGGGAAGTAGTGTTGTTGTTGTTCTCATCTTTCCCAAAATGTCAAACCATTTCTTTAATCATCATTTTGCTTAAACCACTAATTAAATAAAACACTCTTCTTCTATCTATCCACCAATAGTTTCCTGACCCTCATTTTCTACACCAATATGTACTGCTCCATCCTGACCATGATGGCCATTGGAATTGACCGCTACTTGGGCATCGTCAGGCCCATGCTGTTCAGGCAGATCAGAAAGAAGAAGTCCATCGCCGTCATCAGTTGCCTCTTCATGTGGGGTTTGGTCCTGAGCGTGCTTTACCCACTGATGACCACAGACCTGACCTTTTACGTTCCTGAACTCGGGATAACCACATGCTTTGACGTGCTGAAGAAAGACATGCTCCCATCCATATCAGCCTGGGCAGCTTTTCTCTTCACCATGGTGTTTGTCCTTTTCCTCTTCCCTTTCTGTGTCACAACATTCTGCTATGTCAGTGTCATACGCAAACTGGCCAGAGATTCCAGTACAGCACAAAAAGCCAGAGCCATACGTCTGGCCTTCATTGTTCTCCTAGTCTTCACCCTCTGCTTTGCACCCAACAACATTCTCCTGTTGACTCACACTGTACTGAGACTCTTCTACGGGAAGTCTCTCTACATGGCCTATAAATTGTCTCTCTGTTTCAGCTGCCTGAATAGCTGCCTTGATCCGTTCATTTACTACTTTGCTTCCAAAGATTTCAGACAAAAGCTGAGACAGATAATGAATCTACACAGCTCGAGTAGTGCGGACTCAATGAAGATGGAGCACAAAGAGAGTTTGTACTCAACACATTGCGCTTTCGAAGGTCAAGAGAGAGGAAACAGCAAGGTGTATTTGGTGCCAGGTACATCACAGCAGAGAGAGAAAGAATGAGAGAAAAAAATAACAGGAGTGAGATGCGAAAAAGGAAGTGAGAGAAAGATTCAGAGTGTGTAAAGGGTTGCCTCTGTGTGTGCCAAGCTCTTACAGTGTCTGTTTTTGGGTCAAATGTCAAAATAATTTGACTTAGTCTTTTTTTTTACTGCGCACAGAACAGCAACATGAACAGCAACTGAGCTCTTTTCGCTAAGTCATTATTCCTGTAATACCATATATATTATCTTTAAGAGTTAATAAGCATTTATTGTAGTCTATGTGTATTCTAATATCTGCCTCAAGTTATTCTTTTATTTTAATATGTAGCATCCATAAATGTAAATACAATGTGAATTAAACCTGTGAATCTGGTGGGACCCAGCTAACCTTTTAACATGTTTAATTATGTCTGTACGTGTTTCTGTAAATGTCTGTGTACTGTTTTATTTTCTTTGTTTTCTTTGTCAACAAAAATAAATATGTAGTAAATAAAAATGAGTTTTATTGTTATTGTTATTTTTATATATTTTATTATTATTATTATTATTATTATTATTATTATTATATTAATAATAATAGTGCTACCACTGTAGATGTTATTTGGCATACAACTCTCTAGTGTGGAACGGTGGACCCGCCCACGTTATCAAACGTCACCACGTACGCGTCGTTACGTTGTTCGTCCTAGCAAGCAGCTAGTTGTAGTCAGTTTCCTGACTTCGGAAGGTAAGCGACGTATTGCATGTGTAGCTAGTATAAAGCAGTGCTCAGAACATGAAACGTGTTTTTATATTCACCGTGTTCGGTTAATCGTGTCCTTTTTTTTCTTGCTAACCACAGTATACAGTAAGTCACTTACAGGAACTGTTTCTTCTTACTAACCTCACAGATCATAAAAGCCACGAAACAGCTCATTTTAGCTGACAACTTTAACACCAGGTTAATATAATGAGGATAGCAGAGTGGTGAACTGTGTATGTCGCATGTAATAGGTTAATAGGTTATAGGCTTAACGTTAGGTGATTAACTTTGGGTACTTTCAGATAAGCCACACATTAGTTATGTAAGCACATGATTGGCATTAAGCACAGTTATTTTGGAAAATATGTTACTTTATTCAACGCTGCATTTCTGCCTTTGTGCATGAAGTCACTGTACAGTGAGTGTAATTACTGTGGGTGGAGAGTGGTGGTGGTGTGTGGTCTATTCTGTATGTATGGAGATATTGGCCTAGGGTTGCTTTAATTATAGATGAATCTTCTATTCCATAAACCCTAATAACATGAATAAAATGACTTGTTTGGTCCAATCAACTGTCCAAAACCTAAAATATAGGATATAAAGTGATTTAAATGAGAGAAAAGCAGAAAATAGTGACGTTTGAGAAGCTGGAACCAGTTAGCGTTTGTTATGTTTCCTTGAGGAATTACTTAAATAATCAATTTATTATATTGTGTTAAATAATTAAATAATCAACTAATCGTTTCAGCACTATATGAACCTGTTGTCAGTGACAGTGCATAACGGAACAGCTGCAGTCACCTGACTCCTTATTGCTGAGTCCTTTACATAAACTAGGCCACATCTGTAATGTTTAACTGTTCACCTTAGGGGCAGTTAGACGAGGAGGCCACTATGGTGCTGAACCCTGTCATTTCCAAGCTTGCTGGTAAACTGGTTGTGCTGGCGAGTGCTTCACCTAGGAGACTGGAGATTCTCCACAATGCGGTAGGTTTCTCTCTGGTTGAACTGTATTATATATATATAACACAACAACTGCACCTTTGGTTTGATTATGAACTCATACAATTGTCAGTTTGAGTTGAGTTTGGATAAAATCTCTCTTTTCTTGGCAATGACATGCATCATATAAACACTACTTAAAGGTCCAGTGCTGTTAAGATTATCAGGCAGGATCTATTGGAAGATTTATGAAATATCGACTCAGTTCTATGTCATGTTTTTCCATATTAGTGTATTATAAAATCGAGTGAACCACTATGGATGCGGAGGTTAGACTGTGTCTGGAATCATGAGTCCGTCATGTTGAACCACTATGTTTTTACAGTAGCCCAGAACAGTCAAACTAAACACTGGCTCCAGACTGGGCCTTTCACAGCCACCATAGTTTCTCCTATATGTTTGGAAGGGTGAGTGGTATTCAATTGGTTGCAGTCGGTAACTTCTCCGCTAGATGCCACTAAATCCTAGACACTGGTCCTTTAAATTAAAGTTACTGATTCTCAGACGCAAAATAAATAAAACAAATTTAGCTGTACCTAACAAAAAGGTTTAGAAACTTTGGGCTGAATGAATGATATTGATGAGTATTTTATTCTTAACCAGACCAATAAAACAGCTGTACTGATATATTGGCATCGGTCCAAAGGTAACAATAAATTGCTGTTCTGCTGCTGTTAAATACCACCAAAGATCACTGACAAGTTTATATTTCAATTGTAAAATATTATGTTTATGTAAATGGATGATCCAAACACTATAATATATGACTTTCAAAAAAATCCAGTGTGGATTGGAGTATAATTTTGTGGTTGCTTTTTTCTCTTCTACATTTCAGGGCTTACGGTTTGAGGTGGTACCATCCTGGTTCAAAGAAACTCTCGACAAGGGACTTTTCAAAGCACCTCATGAGTATGCTGTTGAGACAGCCAAACAGAAGGCCCTGGAGGTGGCCAGGAGGATGCCTTTTGTGAGTTAAGCTCCTTTTTGTATGGCATGTCCTATTGAATGACATGTTGATAACACATTGTGTATTCATTTGCATTAGAAACATCTGAAGACTCCAGACATAGTAATCGGAGCAGACACTATAGTGGTAAGAGGAGCACTGCAGTATTATATTTGCTTAATCTGCAATATAAGTTGTGTGGTTTTACTCACTATGGCCTTTGTTTTTAATGTCCCCAGACTGTAGATGGCATGATTCTGGAGAAGCCTGTAGACAAACATGATGCTTACAGGATGCTGTCGAGGTGGGTTTCATTTACAGCATTTCTGAGTTAACATTAGAAACAGGAAATTGACAGGATATTGTTTTTCAGGTTCTCTCCTCTTTTTTGAAATATTTATCATATATCTTTCTCTTCCAGGTTGAGTGGTAAAGAGCACAGTGTATTCACTGGTGTTGCTATAGTCCTCTGCCACGAGAAGGAAAGTAAGTCACAGCTGAATAATGGTTTGATGTACAGTTTATTTTCTGTAGAAATTTGATAAAACACACTTGTTATAAATTGTTTGAAGTTGTTTTTATTTTCAATTTTTTAAACACCCAGCAAACATAACTGGGAGGAAAATCTGTTACAGTAATATAGGATTTTCTACCAGTTTCCTAAATATATATAGGAGGCCTTTACTGGCCATATGTAGTGTTTCGATTATTTGACACATCTAATTTCTAAACCTCCCTGTCCCCAGATGAAGAAGTGGATTACCAGTTAATTGACTTCTACGAAGAAACAAAGGTGAAGTTTGCTGATCTCTCAGAAAATATGCTGTGGGAGTACATCAATAGCGGTGAACCCATGTGAGTATGAACATTTGAACTTCCACATATGTAATAGCTATTGATTTCTCCTGGTGTAGTAACCTGACCCAGCATTTGATCAGTGAAGGTCATTTAAGTGGATGTGAGCCTCATGAACCTGTTGCTTTTTGGACTTTGATGAGTTTTTTTTCCAGCTGTGTTTGCCTTGTCCTGTTTGACAGGGACTGTGTCAGCAAGAAATAAAATCTCGACTTGGGTCAGCGAGAGTGTATTCTTTGATTTGTTCTGCATTTAAATAATCTATCCTTATACATATACTTATACAAGGGTTTCTGTATTAATCTGAAATAGGATTGGGCGATATGTTAAAACATTCTTACACCTCTTTTCCTTGTAAACAATTATTAATTATTCATTAATTATTAATTAATCATTGTTTAAGTGAAACATTTGTGTCTGTGTGTGTGTGTGTGTCAGGGACAAGGCTGGCGGCTATGGTATTCAGGCTCTCGGGGGTATGCTTGTGGAGTACGTCCACGGAGACTTCCTCAATGTTGTGGGTTTCCCCCTCAACCACTTCTGCAAACAACTGGACCTTATTTACAACCGTAGCACTTCCTTGTCGGATCAGAAAAGTGAATCTGTCTGCCTGAGCCACAATGGTACTCACGCCACCACGATACTCACTCAGCCCCCGAACAACCTCCCAGCTCAGTCAAGCCACAGTCCGAAACACAACCTCTCATCCAGCCCCAGACCTAACAGCCCGTCTGCCAGTCAAACACACCACACCCAGAACAGCCCCTCAGCCAGTCCTGTTCATAAGGTTAGTTATTCTCACCCCATCAGCACAATTGCCATTCCTGTCATTATTTATGAGTAACAGTCTCTCTTTATAGGTGCAAAAGACCAGTGAAAGTGAAGTGGGTGAAAGTTTATGGACATTGGTCAATAGCCTGTCTAAGCATACAGACAAGTTCTGCGACGGTGAGAATACAACATTACCACTGATGACCAGCAGAGGGCAAGTGATTGAGCTCAATGTGACAGAGTGTGAGAACAGTGAACCAAAAAAAGAGGACTTGCAGCAAATCATTGAACTGATGGATGGATTCAAAGCCTCAAAGGTACTTAGAGATAAACTGTGTATTCCTATTAGCATCTGTAAAAGTTAATTAATTCACACAATATATATTGGTTGTTTTATCTGAAACCAAAGATGCAAGATGTGGTTGTACCTGGTATAAAGTAACTTCTTGGAAACACAGATGCATGCCAGGTAACCTCAAGGTAACCACAACAAGCAGATTAAACAAACAAGATATAATGTGCTCATTAGTGAGTGTTTAGAGGTGCTGAATCATATTTAACCGTCAGTGTGGTATTGATCTCAATCCAACTCTCAAGGCAAGAAATTGTACTTCTACTATTTCCTTTACAACTCCTTTAAAAAAAATAACCTATTCTGATCTGTAATGTAGTGGATAGTGTGCTGGTGTGGATCTGAAGTGGAGCACAAAAAATATGTTTTTTTTTTTGTTTTTTTTTAAGGAACAGAAATGAAAACAAATATCACATTCACATGAATAAAATTTTATGTTCCAGGCACTATTTACCGCATCCAAGATGTGTGTGTTTGACCTGCTACAAAGCAGACCCGGGCTGGATGCAGCACAGGTGGCCCAGGAGATCAAAGCCTCTGCAAAGGGGACTGAATGCCTGCTGGAAGCCTGTGTGTCTCTGGGACTGTTGAAGCTCAAAGAGAGAAGTTAGTCAGCACTCAGATGTGTTTCTCAATACACAATGGTCACTTTTTTATACCTTATCAAGGTATTATTTAACTTAAAATAAACCTCTCACATGTTTTATGGCAACTCCACTCACAGCATACCAGACGCCAGTGTACGAGAACACAGATCTGGCCACGCGCTTTCTGCTGTCAGATGCTCCTTTTTCGCTGCAGGGCTACATCCGGCATTGTAACGACACAGTGTGGCCTCTTTTCTCCCACCTTGAGAGTGCTGTGCAGGAGGGAACGAACCAGCACGAGAAGGCTTTCGGCAAGAAATCTAAGGATATGTTTCAGGTGATTATATCCAAGTTAAGCGGATGGATTAAATGTGGGGGGTAAAAAATTTTAATATTTTACAGATTCTATGTTCTTTTGTTCCTCTGTGTCATTTGTTTCTGTTTAAAGGATACCTTCTACAACAATCAAGCAGTCAAACTGAGATTCATGAATGCCATGCATAGCATTGCTAAAGTTACAGGAAAAGCTGTAGCAACGGCCTTTGATCTCTGCAGTTTTAAAACTGCTTGCGACCTTGGAGGTAAGGAGGGACATAAAGGTATGAAATTGTGTTCTGCAGTAATAAACTTTTGCACATAATCATTTTGTTTTGTTTTTTTTTCTTCCAGGATGCACTGGTGCCATGGCCTATGAGTTTACTAAAGCCCATCCTGCGTTGTCTGTGACAGTGTTTGACTTGCCGGCTGTCATTGAGATGCGTGAGCATTTCCATCCTCTGCAAAAAGACAACAGGGTATCATTTGTAGCAGGTCAGTTTGTATTTCTGCATGTTGCATGCATGCATGCATGTTGAATGACAAAACGATGACTAATGCTGTGGAGGTCATTCTGTGGGTCTTAGATATATTTCTGACTATAACTCATGGCTGTGTCCCCTCTGTATGAGTAGGAGACTTCTTTAAAGATGAGTTGCCCAAAGCAGAGTTGTACATCCTGGCAAGAATTCTGCATGACTGGCCTGATGAGAAAGTGCATCTTCTGCTGAGTAAAATTGCACACGCGTGCACACCAGGTAAAATTCTTAAATTTCTTTTTGTATTTCTTACTACATATTTTCACTGAACAATGAATGCAATCTATGTTCTTATTCGTATAATGTGTCAGTCAGACTTCCATTTCCATAGTGAGACTGTGAAAACTAATTTCACAGATAAATTCTCACATATGAGTAAAATGATGTGTGAAATCCGCTGCTGCTGTTAGTTTCAACCACAACTTGCAGGCTCTTATTTTGCAGTGGGACTTACTGGTGTAACCAGTTATTAGATATAAGAGATACACATAATTGCACTGTTGTGACATGTAAAACAACACTTTGCAAGAAGCTGACTAATTCAAAGCCAAGCCAAAATAGCAACTTGATGATAGTTTTGTTTTCTTCCTTGTTCTACTTGACCTTTATTCTTTGCCTTAAGCAAAGGAATGCAAGGGCATAAGGATTACAAAACCACCTATTCTCCTGTAAAGTTAAGCATAGACATACACATCACAAACTTGCACCATTGTGTCAGGCTGCGGACTCCTGCTAAGTGAGATCTTCCTGGATGAAGACAGAAATGGCCCGAGTCGTGGGCTGCTCCAGGCTCTCAGCATGAGCGAGGGGAAACAGAGGAGCGCCACAGAATACAGTCTGCTTTTGAAGAACCATGGTTTCATAACGGCAAACATAAGACATACAGACAACCTCCTGGATGTTATGCTCTGCATCAAAGCGTGACTGACAACACCCTCAACAATACTACATGGAAGGTCTTGTGATATGCAGTATACTGTAGGTAACATTTCCCTTCCTATACACTAAGGTCTTAAACATTCTCTTTTGTTGGCCTTTAGGATGTGCACTGCTCATAGCTGAGACCATGTTGGATGGACAGACAGCCTACTCTGCTCTGCAGTCTCTGAACATGCTTGCCCAGACTGAGGGGACAGAGAGGACAGAACGCCAGTATACGGACTTGCTGAGCAAACATGGATTTGGTGACATGCGTGTGGTTCACACTATGAACTTCCTTGATGCTTTTATTGCCATTAAAATGTAGCATGTGAATCATGCACACTAATCCTTATGTTTTTCATTCATTTGATTATGACAGACGGTCTTTGTTCATATCTTGGCCCGTTGATTGGTGGTGGAAGAAATAATGAGATTCTTTTCTTGAGTAAAAGTAGTAATACCACATCAGATAATGGAACAATGACATACATAATGTGCAATTATTTCATTATTATTTCATTCTCAATTTACAGTATGATCATTTTATAGAATAGGATGCATTGCTGTAGATTAAACTACCCAACAGTATATAAAGTAGTTAAAATGAGCTCAACCTTAAACATCTACAACAGTAAAATGCACAATCTAAAAACTAGTATAATCACACCATCACTGTAGTATTTACTTTCAATTTCTCAATTTTGATAACTTTATATTCTATTCTGATGCATGTTTGATGTTAAAAATGATTCATAATCTTACACCCCCTCCTCTCAGAGGATGTCTGGCCTATCCCGGCAGAGGCAGTGCTGGTAGGACTAGAGCATCTACTCAGGGTGAGTGGTTACAGCAGTTCAGGAAGACGGCCTTTGGTCAATCTGAGTATCTAATGTTACCAACAAACATTAAAATCAGCCTCAAACTCTGGCTAAAGTCAATACAAAAATCAATCATCATCAATGATTGTGTTTACTGTATTGTATTGATTCTATTTATTATCTCACACTGATAGAATTTGATGTATTTTCCTGCTTTATGTATTCATTTACTGTTCTGTGGCCTTTTTGTGTCAGATGCAAAGAGCTGTTAGCTAACTGGTGCAGTTGCTTTTTAATTGCTGTCACGAAAAATAAATAAAATGAAGATATAATAGGAAAAAACTGACAGGGAACATTTTCTTGCACTATGCCTGAATGAATATACTTACATACCTTTACCTCAGTAAGTTTTAGAATGAAGACTTGTAATAGAGCATTTTCAATGTGGGGACCAGTGTGTAGGATTTAGTGGCATCTAGTGGTGAAGTTGCAGATTGCAAACAACTAAATACCCTATAGCTTTACTTTAAATGCTGAACTGCAGTCGGCACCTGTAAAAGCATGCAAGGCCAGCATGATGTGTGACTGATCAAGTTACAAAATCAGGATTCAAAGTTCATGCTGATCTTTGCTGCAGTGGGGAACTCTTAGGACCTTGATGAGCTTGTGTTCAGTGGTACTGAAGAGTTCACCTGTTGCCTCTATGGTTTTGGTCCTTGAGTAATGCAAATTGATGAAGTAAGAGAGATTAAGGTCAAGAATATTTGTGCCTCAAGGCTCGAGCTTCGACCAGGTCTCTCCATTGATCTTTCCACCTGTACACCTTACAAGAGGGTCCACTTGTAGCACAGTCAACCTCCAGTATGTATCTGAAAAAGGGCTTAAGAATACTACCCAGAAATTCCATCCCCTCTTAAGCATGGATTTCATGTCAACTCTGAAAAAGGACGAGAATGATCTAGTTCAGAGCAGGGACGCTGGAAGTCAGTCAGAGTTGGGGTTGCTGAGAGAAACTCTGTCTATTTACTAATGCTATGCAACAAATAAATCTGCCAAACCTCAAAAAAGTAGAGCGGCCTCTAGTTGCCAGATTTATATCATAACCTAGATCTAGGTCACACGTGGTTTAGTGGTTATCACAAAGGGATTTTCTATCACTGAGTAAACCAATAACCCCTGACTGACAAGTGACATATTTTATGGATATGTCATATTCAATACAATAACAGTAGATACACACACAAGAAATTCCGATGAATTGACCAGATTATTATGTGAATATTGCATCAGAGTTTTATTGATATTTTGAGGAATTTCGGAAAAATTCTCTCTCTATATTATATATTTTACTTATTAGTGTTTTTGGCAAATTCAGTGTTTTCTTCTCATTGTTCTATTACCTCTATGGTTGTTTGACTTTCCTAATGCAGGACGAGGCTGTTTATCAGACAGTGAAGGCTCTGTGAATATTCAGGTCTCTAAAGTTTATATCCATCATAAAAATCTAAACTTTAAAAATAACAATTTGATTTGCTTTTCTTCACAGAAATGAACCAAATGCTGATATAGACCTACTGTATATATTTTTGAAAGTTTTTTTCTATCCCTGAAAATCAAAAAGGCCTTACATGTGCTCCTGTTGGAACTACTTTATTGACACAATGACAATAAGTGAAACTGCTCTCAGTGAATGTATAAAATTCTCAGTGTATATTCTTAGTTTAATGATATTTTTCATTAAACTCATCATTTCAAGAGAAAATACTTCAAATTAGAAGAACTCTTGCTTTTAAGTTCTGAACTGATATGAAAATAAGATAAAATATATGAGAAAAGATTAGTTGATTCCACTAAATTCCTGCATGATTTCTATTTGATTTCCCGATACAGTAAGCTGCCTATCTATGATACATTTAAAAGCAAAGAATATTTCTGTGATTGTCTGGTGTGTAGCTTGCTCATTTGAAAAACACAGGCTGTGGTCAGCTGGATCATATCTGTGGTTAGAAGAGTACCTCCTGCCTCTTAAACACTCTGGAGTGTCATGTTATTATGATGCAATCACGATGCAATGGGAGAAAGATGATTAAAGAAGCAATAATCAAATCTAAGCAGCGCTATCGCCAAAGCAGGATGTCATTTGTACACTGTCTGCCCAGCGGACATGACATCACATTGATTTCAACTTGGAGGAAGAGTGCCAGTGATTAGGGAGACTCAGCCTTCTTCAATCGGACCCTGTCAAAATACTCTGAGGCATGGGTGGGGCCTTTATCTTGGTGATGGGTTCAGTACATTTTTCTAAATCGACCCTCATTTCCCTGCTCCCCACACAAGTGTTATTTAAGCTTCTTTAGCCTTCTCTTGTCCTCCAAAAGCTAAAGTTTTGCTTGCAGTTTAAGTCACACTAACCAATGGAGAAATCCATCAGAGCACTGTTTAAACTCAGCATACATTATTGCTCCATTTGGTCTGTGTGACCATGACTTGTTTGCAAAGAATGATCAAACTCTGACTCCTTATCCCCTGACGTTAATCTATCCCATATTAAAGCTGTGGAGATTATACTTTGCTTGTCAGTGTTTTACTTACAGAAGCTCACCTCCTGAGTGATATTTGATACTCTGGAAATGTAAACCAAATATTTATTTTGCAGTTGAAGGAATTGCACAGTGCTTTCGTTCCCTGCTGTGTCAGTAAACCTCCTCAAGGTGGCATCACAAACCTGCAGATCCCTCCAGAAAACTGGGAGAGACACACAGAGTTCCCTGTTTTGTTAAACTGTCTAATTCTTTCCAGGGGCAGCAGGATGTGTGCTAGACGGCTTGAATTAAGGTTTATGTTACCAAGTTTGGGAATTAATTTGTGCTTCATGCTTATGGGTGGGTAGGATCGTCTGTTAATGCAGAGAAGCAAATGACACCATCCCTTAATTCCTTACAGATAAACCTCTCGGATTTCAGTTTTGAGGTGAAGCAGCCAAACAGCTGATGGGAATGTGGGAATATTTCTGGCCAGGATAAACAGCTCTTATTCTTTCTGACACTGAAAGTGTATCCGGATTACTCTTCATTTTGGATCCCTCTCTAAGTATTTTCCTAGAAGGGTAATAAGGGTGGTCATGTTATTCATGGCTATTTTCTTGTCAGTCTGGGCTCAGGCTCTCTGTGACATCTAACTGATTTCCATTACTCAGATTGTGTACTTTCGACGAGGAGAGACAGGGGGAGGGTGGACTGAAGTTCATATATGACACTGAGTGTAAATCACGCAAGTTCTGTTTTATTGTGAACACACACTGAATGCATCAAAACACCATATATTGCAAGACATTCCTGCCACAGTGATTGTGAAAGCCTGTACTGATTCAATATATTTAACTCTACATACATTGCTGATTAGGTTTCTTTTTCCCTAAAGACAGCAAATTGCTGTGTAGCGGGAGAATGTACATATAGGGCTTGTGAAACACAGATGAGTGTCACAAATCAAACAGCAGAGTCTGTGTTCCCTTTAAAACATGATGAAGCATTTCCATGAAAGGATTTGCATATCCGTTCACTTCCAGTGTCCCATCTGCACCCGCTCACCCTTTTGTGTACGAGTATCAACAGCAAAGCCTCTGCTTTTTAATGAAAACCATTCAAGTCAATCAAGTTTACCAGAGACCAAAGGCCAGTGTAATTTGGGAAAATTGCTGAAACTCCAAAGTAATCTTCTGTAATGTGATCTTGCCTATTGAACACTGGCTGTACTGTACGTGTCGGATAAGAGCTCAGTCATTTTCTTCAAATGCAGTCTTGACAAGCAGCATGGATATCCACCTGCAAGTAATCATCATTCTAGTGTTAAGTGCTTTGATATTAAAATGACTGATTTAAGACCATTTGCTGCTCATAGATAGCGATTTTGAAAACACTTCCATATGCTGATAGCGAGGATAAGCTGGGTCTGTGAACTGGGTGGACTGCATGTTGTGTTCACTGTTGTAGAACAGCCAGTGGAAACACACCACGGTTAAGCCATGACTTCAGTGTTTCAGTTGGGAAAGGAGACTATACATATAACAAGAATGATTTAATCAAAACCTTCAATAATAACGAATGCAGAAGTTTCATAAGATTTAATGTGAAATGCTTTGTAATGTAAACCCGTACTTCAGTGAACTTTAATGCATGCTTATTTTGTAACCACTTGGGGGCAACATTGGCTAAAGGAAGCCTCCGTACAGAGGCTGATTTAATCAAGTTATATTGTTTGTTGACACTCTTATCAAAGTGACAGGAGAGGACAGACAATTTCACTGCTGAGATATTTGAAAATGTGCAAATATTCATGTCAAACTATTGTGTTATCTCAGTTGAAAAAGAAATAGCACCATTGTTTATACCGAAAGCATCTCTGTGACTTTGGAAAGGATACACAGAATCCAAATGGTTGCATGCAGAATAACAAACACTCTCTAATCACTCAGTTTTCTGAATTGCCTCTCAAAACTGAACTCATGCTCGGGCACCTGTTTCAAAGAACAGGCTTGTTTATCAAAGGCCTCCTCTGTCAACAAACAGAATAAGCGCGATGATGGCTGGCTCCTCAGCCCACATCTGATTTCAGCAAATGTGCAATTGTTCAAAGTGAGTTGTGCTTCATTGATTTGTTTCAAGGCAGAGGAAAAATAACCTCGGGGCTTCTACCAGTTAGAAATAACAATGGAGTCCTTCTCTGCTGTTTGTAGTTTTTTGGCCCGACATCAGTAGTAGAACATGGAGGGATTTTCATGCAACTGCTGGTGGGGACTGTGTAAGAGAGTGGGCCACTTTTCACTGGAGATGGGGCTTTATGTCGGCGTAACAGAACAGTAAATTATACAGTCATTGTACTCTAATATTAAAATGATTCAGCAGAGACTTTAAATTGAGTCATGTCTGCTTTTCTTTCTTTGGATGATTTAAACCATTATTGATTTGTTTGATTTTAGATTTTCTAAAGGAATAGTTCCACATTTTGGAAAATCTGCTTATTTGCTTTTTTCCCCCCGAGAGTTAGAAGATCAATATTTCACTCTTGTGTCTGTGCTCTAAGCAGGAGAAAGGAAGTGAGTAGCTTAGCTTAGCATAAAGCCTGGAAGCAAGGAGAAACAGCTAGTTGTCCAACTTCAAAAATATGGCCCACTAGCACCTCTAAAGCTAATAGCCTGATGGCTTTAGCTCTAAAGTGGTATCAATTTTCTAGTTTTTTTACAATGTACAAAAATAAACGTTTGGATTGTAAAGTCTATCTGATCGCTGATCGAATATGTGAATACCAACAGTGAAACAGCAAATACACCACCACTCAGCTCATAATCAGAACCCAATTGGCCTCCACTAAAAGCCAACAACAATCTCATTAACATATGGAAATATTTGTTGCGGTCAAATACGAGAAACTGTCTCCCCTTCCTGTCTCTGTGTGATGTGTGAGGTGTCACTCAGAGGTACAGTAGGGGAGGAGACTCTCTGGGCTGAAATGGTTGGTGACAGGGCTTTCATCCGACCCACTGTGGGCTCTTTGTTGTTATTTTGGGATCTCTCATGGGTGCAATCTGAGAGAGCAGCAGACAGACGGGTCTCATCTCTGCACGAGGACTCACACACACACACACATACTAATTCACATACACAAAAATGTATGTCATGTCAATCAAATTGGCGCATATGGAAAATCCATTAATTCTCAGCAATTAAGACACAAGTAGAATATTTCAAAACAGAATAATTATTTGTTCATTGTACTGTAATATAATTTGTATGGAAGCCCTCAGATAAAAAGTTATTCAAGATGTAAAAAAATACGAGATAGTAAGTCTAAATTATGTGAAAACAAGTCATTTTGTGGCCTAAGTAGTTAGAATTATTCATTCATAAATTACGTATGACCTATAATGAGCATTTTTATTTTCTTAATTTCAAACTTTTTAATATTTTTTTTCTTTTTGTGGTGGAAATGGGCATCCATAGATTTGAGTCTCTATAGTGAACTAGGAGTTATAGTGAAATTTTGCATTAGTGGAAGTCTTCCATTTAAGACTTATTTTTATGTTGCTAAGATGCAAGTTTTTTTTTTTTTTTTTAAATAAACTCCTGTGGCACCAATGTGACTGACGTCTCGGCTCACTAATCCATAGTGGTATAGTCCCTTTTAAAAATGATTTCTATCTGTTAAGATTTTGAGAAAGCTTTGCTGTTAACAGTTTTCATTGAGGTTACAGAATTATCAGGAGTAACAAGAATGTATTTATTTGTTTGTATTACCTTGGCCATTTTGTTATTAAAGACAGTTAAGAGATAACAGTAAAGGAAGGAGAAAGAGATGCAACATACTGTATGTGCACGGCTGGACTTTTTACTTTAAGCATAAAAAAATAAAAATAAATAAATCACTAACCTCCATTGTGTTGTGGTGGCAGTGTGTAATGCAAAATGTTGGAGCATAAAACCAAAATGATCTGCGTGGGTAGATACCACTAGGCCTGAGTGATAATTATGTTATTTTGTTATCTTGGTAGACTGACCATTTAAAGAATTAAAAACTGAAAAGAAAAAAAACAAAAAAAAAAAACATATAGTCCTTGCCACAGTTGTGTGTTTGAAAATTACTCTGCATGAATGGAAATGAAAGTCTCAAGTTAACAGCTTAAGTCTATTTGATTTCGCATTCAAACAGTAACAATGATCACAACCTCTGTCGGTGTAAGATGCAAAACAAATGTTTAGCCTATCAATGGTTTGTGCCGATAAGATATTTATGGGGTTGACAAAGTTGTCTTTGTGTCTGTCTTGTTGTCTGTTATCATGAGTTGAAGGTGCTTCCGCAGTGACCTCTGACACACATCACAGGCGGCTGCTGTTTAAAACAAGTGAGAAGATATATTCCTCTCACTGTGCAATGGTAACCCTTGCTCTTAACCCCCTCCAGCAGCAGTTCATCCTCCAAACAATAACAATCAATTCCCTCCACTTCTGACAGAGCCGAAGAACAACTTATAAATGATATGCATCTCCTGCTGGTCCCATGGCAACCGCCTTGACTTTATTGTTGCGTTTCTTTGATCCCGCCAAGCTTTGATTCATTTCTCTTTCACCCTTTTAGCTAAACATATCATGTGAATTTGGAGCTTTGTTCCTGACAGTCCCCGTCTTACCTCGCTCTCTCCACAGGCTCCTGACGCCTCCCAGAGGAGCCGTGGAGGAGGAGAGGAATTCCACTGGATTCAAAGCCTTCTCTGGATTTCTTTTTGACTCTTCCGCCTGCCTTGCCTTCCCCAGCTCCTCATGTTGACCTGCTCCTCGTGATCCCCTGCCAAACCATCTTCCTGGCCCTGGGGGACTGTGGCTGTGTGTGCACAAGCATACGCATTACATGGGTGCATGGAGGGTTTGGGGCTTTCATTCTAAGTTCCAATAGTAGGTTCTTCTGCATGTCCAAGCCTTTGATTCAGTGAATGAGGAGAATACATTTTGGCCTGATTCGTTGGGCGTTTTTCATCAGGACTTATAATTTTGTTGACGGAGC